GATCGCACCACTATACTCCAGCCTGTTGACAGAGCAAGAGCAAGACTTCATCTCAAAAAAAAAGGAAAGGAATATATTTGTATATATTTGTTTGAATATGCATAAATTGTCTCTGGAAAAGTATCAGAAACAGTAACATTGGTTGCTTCCAGGGCAGGGACCTTGGTGGTTGGGGGGATAGGAGTGAAAGAGAGACATTCCACTGTTGACTCTGATACTTTTTTATTTTTGACCCATGTGAATAAATTATCCATCCGAAAGAGAGGAAATAAACACAATTAAAACTAAAAAAGAAAAGGAAAACCTGACACTATGATTTACACAAATGGGAATTTTTTTCTCTCTCTCATGAAAACAAGCCCAGGCCAGCTGTGGTGGCTCATGCCTGTAATCCCAGCACTTTGGGAGGCAAAGGTGGGTGGATCACCTGAGGTCAGGAGTTCGAGACCAACCTGGCCAACATGGTGAAATCCTGTCTCTACTAAAAATAGAAAAATTAGCCGGTTGTGGTGGCAGACGCCTGTAATCCTAGTTCCTCAGGAGGCCGAGGCAGGAGAATTGCTTCCACCTGGGAGGTGGAGGTTGCAATGAGCTGAGATCTCACCACTGCACTCCAGCCTGGGCAACAAGAGCAAAACTCTATCTCAAAAAAAAAAAAAAAAGCCCAGAAGGAGGTGCTGTGCTTACTTACTGTTGATTTGGGTGCTCAGTGATGTCTTGGGAGCCAGGTTCTTCCTTGTCCTCCAGGTCCTCAGAGGATTGGCTTTTATTTCCGTGGCTGTTTCCTCATGATGGCAAGATGGCTGCCACAGCTCAGGAATGATGTTGTCATACACAACATCTCCCAAACAAAAAATAAGGGCCAACGCAAGCCAAAAACTTTCTCCTAATGATGCTTTTTATCCTGGAAAGAAAGACTTCCCTGTGCATGTCATTGTACAATCGCAAAGAAGAATGAGTTTATTGGCTCCTGAGATTGGGGAAAAGGCCTCTCCTCCTGATGTCACGGAATCTCTGCTCTAGTAGAGAAATGGGGTTCTGTCCTTAGGAAATGTGCAGAAGTCTATTAGGCAGGCAGCAGAAAGAGTCTAGCACAGCTGTCTCTGTGAATCGCTTCATCTTTTGAAAAGGGAGATTCTTACTGACCGTTGGTGGGCTAACCCTGCCAGTGCCCACCACGCTTTCTGCAGGAAAACACTGGAACGTCTCCTGTGAAGTCTCAGACTGGCGGGGAAGCTGAACACCCACCTCCCATCCACTAGGTCCACTGGAGAAACGGAACACCCAGGGGCTCCTCTGTGTGTGGCACTGTGCGTGCTTAGGGGAGTGGCGTGGCCAGAGAGCAGCCGTCCCTTTACCGTCTGATCGTGGTTTTTCTCGGTCTGTCATCTCAAGGGATACACAGCTTCACTCCAAATTCTGGGATGTTCAGAGTGGTAAACTTGCCACGGGATTGTTGCCAGTTGAAATTCTGTCAGGGAGGAGAAGAGCTGGATAACTCCTACCTCGACATTTTGTTGATGCCACTCTCAAAAAGGGAAATTCTGAATTACCCCATGCTCCCCCATCTTCCTGTGCTGCCGCTCTGTCCCGTCTCATCCACCTTTCTTCTGGGCTACAGCCTTAGCCCTCTCACAGGTGTCCTACAACTGTGTGGATGTGGGTTGGACTTGGTGTCAGCTGTCTCCTCCCTGGGATAGAGGATTAGGGTTCTCACAACTAACAGTTATCCCATTGTCCACGACCGTGGCATCCTGTTGTGTCTTTTGAAGGCCACCATCAAAAAGCTATCTCTGTTCGTTTTCTCTCAGTTTTTCCTTCTAGACAGGAGCTCCCCTCCATGTGGCCTGTGCTCTGTGGATGTGTCCTGGTGCCTGTACTGACTCAGCACTGGCAAAATAGGCAGGGGCAGTGCTGTGGGTGGAATCATGGCCCCTCCAAAATCCATGTGCTGAAGCTGAATCCCCAGGACCTCAGAATGGGACCTACTTTGGAGACAGGAGTTTGCAGAGGTGATTAAGTCAAAATGAGGTGATCGGGGTGGGCCCTAATCCACTGAGAAGATTAGGACACACACAGAAAGGAAAGACCATGTGAAGACACGGGTGGCAGGAAGACCACCATCAGCAGGCCGAGGAGAAAGGCCTCAGAGGACACTAAGTTTGCCAACACCTTGACCTCCAACTTCCAGCCTCCAGAACTGTGAGAAGATAAATCTCTGCAACCTAAGCTATCCAGTCCGCAGTACTTTGTTACGGTGCCCTAGAAAATCAATATAGGCAGGCGGGGTGCAGTGGCTCATGCCTGCAATCCCAGCTCTTTGGGAGGGTGAGGTGGGAGGATCACTTGAGCCCAGGAGTTTGAGAGTTTCACACAGTGCTGGGCAACATAGCGAGACCCCATTTCTTTTTGGTTTTTTTGAGAGGGAGTCTTGCTCTGTCACCAGGCCGGAGTGCAATGGGGGGATCTCGGCTCACTGCAACATCTGCCTCCTGGGTTCAAGCGATTCTCCTGTCTCAGTTTATTGAGTAGCTGGGATTACAGGCACACACCACCACGCCTGGCTAATTTTTTAGTATTTTCACTAGAGACGGGGTTTCACCATGTTGGCCAGGCTGCTCTTGAACTCCTGACTTCATGATCTACCCGCCTCAGCCTCCCAAAGTGCTGGGATTACAGGCATGAGCCAACGTGCCCAACCTACCTGCCTATATTTTTTTGTGTTGTCCTGGCTGGAGTTCAGTGGCAAATCATGGCTCATGTAGCCTCAACCCCTAGGCTCAAGTGATCCTCCTACCTCAGTCTCCCCTATAGGGGCATGCCACCACACCTGGCTAATGTTTTTGAAATTTCTGCATATATATATGCAGGTATGATTGTCAATGTGAACGGTGTCACAGAGGGCTGTGCTTTAGCCCCATTTCTCTCAAAATATTTTTCTCCTTTTATTTTGTTGAAAAATGTATAACATTTGTTTTTTTAATCTAAACTATTAAGAATCCATGCAGTCTGGCCCCAGCATATTGTAGGGGCAGGAAGATTTAACTTTATTTAAAGATACAGCTCACCATTATTTACTTCTCAAAAAAGGAAGTTGGAGCTGATGCTTTTATGGTTAACCTTAAATGACCCGTCCACTCAGTTGGCTCAGACGCCTTCTGAGGTGTGTGTTTTGCAGCCGCCCCATCCTGATGAGCCCCAGCGACAGAGTTCTTCACATCAGATCCATGACAGTGGCCTTTTATGGAAAGAGCAGCCAGCTGGCAGCAGCTCCCTAACAATCCTGCAAGCTAAGATCCTCTCCATGGAGTAAGCATGGGAGAGAATTCAGGGCAGGGGAGGGGCAAGGCAAACATTTACTAATAAGAGGGCTTGAGGAGATTTAAAGGCCTTTTTGGGCAGTGGCGGTGGCGGTGGTGGGGGAGAGGATAAAAGAGACAAAAAGAAACCAAAAACGTAAAAATCATAAATACTCTTTCTGAGCCAAAAGGAGGCCAGCTAGATTTCTATTCACCAACAGCATGTGAACTTGCGCTCTCTCATTGTACATATAAAGTGCACACCTTGGGTCAGGCACTGTGGCTCATGCCTGTAACCACTGCATGTTGAGAGGCCAAGGCAGGAGGACTGCTTGAGCCCAGGAGTTTGAGACCAGCCTGGGCAACACAGGGAGACCTCATCTCTACTAAAAATACAAAAAAATAAGGCTGGGCACAGTGGCTCATACCTGTAATCCCAGCACTTTGGGAGGCCGAGGCGGGCAGATCACCTGAGATCAGGAGTTCGAGACTAGTCTGACCTACATGGAGAAACCCCGTCTCTACTAAAAAAAAATACAAAATTAGCCGGGCATGGTGTCACTTGCCTGTAATCCCAGCTACTTGGGAGGCTGAGGCAGGAGAATAGCTTGAACCCAGGAGGTGGAGGTTGTGGTGAGCCGAGATCACACCATTGCACTCCAGCCTGGGCAACAACAGTGAAACTCCATCTCAAAAAAAATAAAATAAAATAAAATTAGCCAGGTGTCGTGGCATACACCTATAGCCCCAGCTACTTGGGAGGCTGAGGCAGGAGGACCCCTTGAGCCAGGAGTTCAAGGTTGCCATGAACTGTGATAGTGCCACTGCACCACAGCCTGGGCAACAGAATGAGACTCCGTCTCAAAAAAAAAAAGTGCACACCTTTCCTTTCAACCAACCTTGGAGAATATTTTTCACTTTGCATGAGGCTAGATGTTTGAGAGTTGACTGAAACGTAACACCTGTGGAACATGAAGAGATCTGATTATCCGAGAGGGCCAGACCGTTCTACCCATTCAGAGAAATTCTGGAAGGACGTGGCATATGAAGTGTTTTTTGTTTGTTTTTTAACCCAAGAGACCTCTAACAGCCAGACTAACTGGGTGCAAATCTGAGCTTTGCATTTGCAGCTGAATTGGGAAAGTTACCTCTCTGTGCCTCAGTTTCCTCATTTGTTAAATGGGAATTGTATCTACCTCATGGGGTTATGGCAAGGATTCAATAAGTTAGTATTTTTTTTTGTTTTTGAGACGAGGTTTCGCTCTTGTTACCCAGGCTGCAGTGCAATGGCGTGATCTCGGCTCACCGCAACCTCCGCCTCCTGGGTTCAGGCAATTCTCTTGCCTCAGCCTCCTGAGTAGCTGGGATTACAGGCATGTGCCACCATGCCCCGCTAATTTTTGTATCTTTAGTAGAGACGGGGTTTCACCATGATGACCAGGATGGTCTCGATCTCTTGACCTTGTGATCCACCTGCCTCGGCCTCCCAAAGTGCTGGGATTAGTATTTTAAAGCATTGAGAGCACTGCCTGGCACGCTGGCTGCCGTCACTGACTAATACTGCTCTTACTGGATGACACCTCCAGTTCCTCACTGAAATACCTTTATGGGATTATATTTTAGTGTCTTGACCTTTGTCTTTGAGATTGTTCCCGTGGAACAGTATTTCTGTATAAATCCCAAGAAAATAAATCATCTGGGTCCGGGTCCCATTCTCTTTATTTGCATGTGGTTACAATATAAATACACTCGCCATTTTCCTCCCCTTCCAAAACGCTTTCCCATACCTAGGAGTCTTACCCAACCTGTTGTTAGCGACTCCCTTTCCTCTCCTCTAGGATGGGGGGAAGGAGATCCTCCCTATAATTTCATCATGCAGGGTCTACCTCAGTCCATGTGAAGTGTGGAACCCCAAAGGGCCTCTGAAACTTTGGGATGAGCACCACGAATCCTTTAGAGGGCCCGGTGACATCCTTGCAGGTGACCGCGTGGCGGCTCCCTCAGTGCTGTGCTCCGATGCAGCATGCCATGGTGGGCAGCAGTTGGCATCATATGCCCTGTCCGTGCCTGAGGCTGAGCAGCCCCAGTGGGTGGGCCTGCCAGGAGGCCTCAAGTTTGCTCAGGCAGTAGGGAGAGTCCTGTGGAGGGCATGGTATCCAGCCAGTGCCCACCTGCTCTCAGAGGTGTCTGAGCCTCAGTCCCTTAGGGCTCTGCCTCCCCAGGCCCTCCCCAGGCCCCCTGTGAATCCCATTTGGGTAGGGCGGCCTCAGGGGAGAAGGTGCTCTTGTGCTTCCCTTCTTTTGCCTTTTCCCAGACACCATCAGTCATGGGTGACAAACTGGGTGACTGTTAGAGGGTATGGTATCACAGTGCTCTGTCTCTGCCAGGTGCCAAGCCTTGCCGTCTTCCTGGGAGGGTGTAGAGAGCCAGGGAGGGCCAGGGTCCCCCTCTTCGGGAATGGGGTATGGAGGTTCTGGAGTAGCTGGGGGATCTCCAGGGCCCGGTGGTCCCCCCAGTACTGGTCCATTGTAGATGTAGATATTGCCAGTGATTGTCATAGACCCGCCGGTGACATGAATGCCGTTGGTACCTGTGGGAAGGGAGGCAGAGCGTTGAGGAAGGAAGGCCCCTAATTCAGGCCCGCTGCTTCTTGAATTCTCCTTGTCTTCTTCTCACCTTCCCCTGCCCTCCCCAACCCGGCCAGCCCCTCTCCTGCTTGCTGCTGGTTTCTTGAGCTTTGTGTTCATTTCTCTGTTTCTGGGTTTTCCAGTCTCTTCCCTCTTCTCTAGCTGTGACACTGGCTGGCAGCGGAGTCTCTGTCCCTGTCCCTTTTTATTTCATCTGGCCCATAGTGTCTCCCTCCCAGCCATCCCTCCTTTCCCATCCCTCCCCACACCCTCCCCTCTTCTCCCTGCCCCAGGCTCACCATGGGGCACCTGGCCCTGCTCCCCAGGTTCCAACTGTGGCTCCCTGATCTGACCCAGAGGACTCTGCTGTTGCAGCACCCCTTCCTCCAAAGCTGAGCTTGTGGGGAGCCCAGTGGAGACTGGGGAGACATCTCCAGAGTTGGGCAGCAGTGGCTGTTCCAGGTCAAGGGAGTGTAGATTGGCCTTCGGAGGTTCCCAGCTTCCAACGGCAGGATTGGACCCCTCTCCCTGCAGGAGACAGACAGAGATCCAAACAATGACAATGATGAGGGCCCCAGACCCACCCTCTCTTTCTTTCTTCTCTCTCTTTTTCTCTCCTTCCTCCCTCTCTCTTTCTTTCTTTCATTCTTTCTTGAAAGGGTCTGGCTCTGTTGCCCAGGCTGGAGTGCAGTGGTGTGATCATAGCTCACTGCAGGCTCACGAACTCTGGGACTCAAGTGATCCTCCAGCCTCGGCCTCCTGAGTAGCTGGGACTGCCAGGTTAACTTTCTTTTTTTTTGAGACAGTCTCACTCTTTTGCTTAAGCTGGAGTGTAGTGGTGCTATCTGAGCTCAATGCAACCTCCGCCTCCCAGGTTCAAGCAATTCTCCTGCCTCAGCCTCCTGTGTAGCTGGGATTACAGGTGCGTGCCACCATGCCTGGCTAATTATTGTATTTTTAGTAGACATACTAAAAATGGTTCCTCCATGTTGGCCAGGCTGGTCTGGAACTCCTGATTTCAGGTAATCCACTTGCCTCAGCCCCACAAAGTGCTGGGATTACAGGTGTGAGCCTTTGCACCCGGCCCTGCTGGCTAAAACTTGAAACATTTTGGATAGAGATGGGGTCTGGCTGTGTTGCCCAGGCTAGCTCATCTTTCTTTAGTTTCCACACCCCACTCTGTGTTTTGGCAACTCATGGTGTGCCTCTGCCCCTCCCCATACCCCCTGCCTCAGGTCTTTGCACTGGATGCTCCTTCCTCCTGGAAGACGTCCCCCCCAGACAGCCCCATGGCTGGCTCCTCACTTCTTCAGCTCTCTGCTCAAATATCACCTTCTCAGAGAGGGCTTCACTGTCCACTCTGTCTAAAATGCCCCCATCCTTTGCCACTGTCACTCACTGGCTCCTTCCCTGCTTTATTCAGCAATTATACCCCCGATATATATTGAACTTTATTCTCCCTCCATGGGTTCGTCAACTCCAAGAAAGAAGGCACTATGTTTTGCTCACTGCTGTACCTATAGCGCTATGGCAGTGCCTGACACATGGCATGTTCAGTAAATCATCAGCTGAATGAATGAATGAGTGGGGAGTCAGCCTGCACACTCTTTTTCTTGTCTGCTCCCACCTTGCACCCTCATCACCTCTTTCCCTCCTTGCTGCCTTCTCAGCCCCCGCCATTACCTCTGGATGCCTCTTGAGCAGCGATCCTGCAATGGAGAACAAAATGGGTGTAAGGCTTTCTGGCAGGCCTGAGACCTAGGCTTTCAGCCTCCACCCCCCACCCAGTGTGTAGCAACTTGACCACTGTCACGCTCATCTCCAGCCTCAGAATAAGCAGCTGGATGGAGATAAGAATGTCTATGTTGGGGCTGGGCACTGGGAGTCTTGAGGGTGTGGAGGGTTGCACCGGGGAAGTTGAATATTCCTCCCTTGGGCTCCCACTGCCACCCCATCCACTGCATCCAACCCCTTCCTACCCAGTTTCCTGCAGAGAGAAGGGTGGCTCTTCCAGATGCAGGCGAAGACAATGGCGAGGAGCAGAAAGAAAGTCAGCGGCAGTAGGATGGCCAGCATCAGCATGGTTCCTGCCAGGAAAGCAGACAGGAGGGGTGATGACAGCCCCCAGAAGGGCAGAGGGGAGGAGAAGGAGGAGCTTTCCAGATCCCTGGGCAACCCAGACAGAGAAAAGGGAGCAGCTCTTTTCCTTCTAGCCACACTGCAGCTCCTAAAGGCAGAATGAGAGAAACTTCCCTTGGGTTACAGAGAAGGGGAACTAAGTTGGGCTTGGGGACCTCTTGGCAGTCAGGAGAGACTGTATCATGGATGGACCTATTTGGGGGTGGTGCTGGTGCCCTCCTTCTCAGAGACCAGGATTGAGCAGGCTTGTGCATGTGGGATGGGAGCTTGGGCAGTTGATTTTCAAGGTCTGGAAGTGGGACTGGGAGACAGTAGGGAAGGGCGGGGCTTGGAGTTGTAAACAGACACAGGGTAGAGCCACATTTCTGTGGCCTCAGCCATCGCACACAGGGGCCACTGTGGAGGGGCTATGGTTGCCTTGCTGTACCTGTGGGGGTGTTTACAGGGGTGAGAGAGTGGGGAGCCTTGCTTCTGTACTGTCTGTGGTCACCTGAGAGAGCAGGGTTTGCAGGTTTTCCACCCCTTGCTCAGGGCAGGTTCTAGGAGGGGAGGAAAAGAGAGGCTAGAGTTCAGCTTCTCCAGCTTTGGTCCATAGCCTCTGGGTGTCAGGGCTGCCAGCAATAGCACGGAGTCTCCAGTGGCCATCGACTACACCTGGGCCAGGGTGGGAGAACTTGGACATTTGTATTCGGGCCATTTTGCCCCTTCTGATTCATGTCCCTCTGTAGCCTAAGGGAATGTGGAATGGGAGGCCTGGAGAGAAACTGGACTGGGAGTCTGGACCATGGTTTCCTGCCAGCTCGGTGACTTTTAAGTCATTCATTTCTTTGAGCAGCAGTTTTTCATACATAAGAAGAGGTTAGCTTACATACTCTCCAAAATTCCAGCTCTAAAATGCCAGTCGTATTTGATACATAGTTAAAAACTAACAAGGCATGGAAAAATACTTATATTGTGGAATGAAAAAAATCAGGTTACAAAATATTAAAATTACTCTACTTTTAATAAATAACAGCAACAAAACCCAGTATGTATAATCATGCATAGAAAAATGTCTGGGGGGATAGATGCCACAATGTAAAGAGTGGGTAGTCTAGGTGGTGGTTCTACAGGTGAGTTTCAGTTTTGCTCATATGAAGTTTCCAATTTTCGATAGTGCATGCATTATGACATGGCTCTAGAATACGAAAACCTGAGTGCAGGTTCTAGTAACACCAATGACCACCTGGGTGGGTGATCTTGGGTATGTCACTGAACCTCTTCTTCCTTCAGTCCATGAGGATAATAATAGAAGCTACTTCATAGCATCCTTAAGAAGATGAAATGAGTTAGTGAATGTCAAGTGGTGACTGAGTGCCCGACACACACAGCAAACCTTCTGCCAATGAGTGATGTTACAGTCCTTAGAAACAACCTGTAGTCATCTACTAGGCTAGCAAGCCAATCAATCCACAGGAAAAAGTCAAGAGTCAAATGGGAATCTTCTGTCTAATAATAAAAGTACATAGTCTACTAAAGAGGTATTTGGTCTAGTAAATGGATTGTGTGATGCTGACATACCCAGAATGTTGACAATGGTTATCATTACATCTCAGTGTCGGATGTGTTCCTTGACATAGTATAACAGTATATATAATTTTAAAATTGTGTGTGTGTGTGTGTGTGTGTGTGTGTGTAAGTAAACTACCCTAGGGGTATTCCAATTTTTTCTGTAAGGAACTTTTCTTCTTGCCCCAATTCTGGGAGGGAAGGGTTCATCTTTTCCCTATTTTTTTAAAGATGTGGGGCATTAAGGCATGTTCCCAGGCACCTCCCTGTGCCCCTCACCCCTGGTCCCTCACCTGGCATCTCTGGGGGCAGTGGCTCTAATGGATTTCTGCAGCTTGTGTCGGATTGGGCAGTGCCTGGAGCTGTCTCCACCAGACCTTGGTCCTCGCACCTGCAGAGGAAAAAGAGATGATGACCTTTTCATGCTCTGGCCCACCAGTGCCCGGACTCCAACTGGCATGCGGAGCTGGAAGTGGCGAGTCCAGCTCACCATGTCAAGGATGGTGGGGGGTGAGGATTGTTAGCAGCTGAGGCTTCTCAGAGGGTGGAAGGAGCACAGGCAGGGGTGCACTCACCTGGTGTGGGGCTGGCAGCGGGCACTGGGGGAGGAGGTGTTCTGGAAGTGCCCTGCCTTGCAGGGGATGCAGTGGTTGTTACCCTTACCAACTTTATCTGGCAAGAGAAAGGCAGGTCAGCCAGGGTGAATGGGCAAAAGGGAGGAACCCTTTGCCCACTGTGAATTTCCTTTAAGCCCCAGGATGGACTCCTCCTTGCCCATCTGCCCCATTCCGTAGCTCTCACCTTTCCCAAGCTCCACTTTGCTGCCTACCACTTTGCCCAAACTTCCCAGTACTGAGAGGAACCCCCTCGTGTGCCCCTTGCACCTGCCCCAGTTCCAGTCCCTCCAGACCCCTTCTGTGATCCTATGCATGGAATGAGAAGAAGAATTTTAAGCCAAGGAGAACTACCTAGGGGGTCGCCGTGGACGAAGTACCATATTCCCTGCTCCTACTCGAGATCCCTGGCAACCAGCCTCCTTTTCACATCCAGCCCTCAGGGACCTCTGACCTTTGAGATCGGCTTCAGTGCCAGGTGGACAGTCAGAAAGTAGCTCGCAGTGTGTACACTCGGAGGTCTCAGCAGCACAGAACATTCCCGGCTTGCAGCGGCACTGGGTCTTCTGTTTGCTTGTGCAGGGGGCAGTCTCCTCGAGGCCCATCACTGGTGGGGAGACGGGAGGGCTCAGGGAGAGGCTGAGATCCAGGGGATCCAGCTCCCCCGCCACCAGGCACATCCTCGCTCACCTGGGTCACAGGGGCGGCACAGCTGGCAGATGGTCAGGTAGTTCCAGAACTCATTGTAGGAATTTTCAGTACATGCAGCACAAACTGTGTCGCTGCTGCGGCTGCATTTAGCTGAGACATAGGTGCCTAGAATGTGAGCGGGGCAGTGGAGCCTCAGGAGACAGGGCTGCACCCTCACCTCCGCTGCCTGTGGTGTGACCCCGGCCTGTCCTTCGGCCTCTCTGGCTCCCCATCATCCTGCCGGTGGCCCTCTGGCTCCCTCTCAGAGAGGTAAGAAAAGAGGAGGCCCAGTGGGGAGGACCAGTCCCAGCTCCTGCAGGTGATGTCCAGGGTTTCCCATGCTCGTCTCCAGCAGCCATTTTTCCTGGGGGGACAGTGCCCCTCTAAGGCCACAAGGGGACTGGAGCCCCCCCCCCATGACCCACCTCCGAGGCCCAGCTCTGTCCGGCCACTGCCTCTCACCTGGCGGGCAGCGGGAGCAGCAGATGCGGTGCCTGAGCTCGTAGTATTCCTTTTCCTGGTCCCTGCAGGTCTGGTTCTCCGACCCGTATGGAGGCACCTTCAAAGGGAGATGGAGAAGAGGAGAGAAAAGTTAGGGGTCAGCTTGGGAGGGCAGAGGGAATGAAGCGAGGGCTGTCCAGACCCTTCTTCCCCACCCTCTCCAACCTCTGCCAGGTCCCCTTCCTCACCACCTGGGGCTGGGATACTGCTAGGAGCCCAACGAGGCCCAGCACCAGAGGCCCCCAGGCCAGGCCGCGGGCAGAGGTGGCCCAAGGCAGGCGCATGGCGGCCACTCGGCCAGCCGGCCAGCAGGCCAGCAGCGAGGGGGCCTGGGAGGAAGGCAGGAGGCCCGACGCCCTGGGCAGCGGTGGCGGCAGCTGCCGGAGCCCAGAGCCTGGGACGGGACTCAGGGCCGATGTGCCCCCCGGGGCCGGGAGCGGCCAGGCCGGGCCTCCGGGGCTCCCACGGCGGAGCTCAGGAAGTGGGAGTGCAGAAAGCTAACTGCGGGGCGGGGACAGGGAGCGCTGGGAGCCGGGCCGCCCTGTCGCAATCGCAGCCAAGGGAAGAGGAACAGGCTTGTCTGCCTCGATGCAGGGCGGGAGGGGTGGCCGGGAAAGCACGTGAGGGCCGCGGGGCCGGAACCGGCCTCCTCCCTTCTTAGGAAGCCTGATCCGGAGAGCGGGCTGCGGACAGGCCGGGCCCAGCGAGGGAAGGGCGGCGGGTCCCGGGGTCAGCCCTTGGACAAGCCTCGGAGGGGAAGCAGAGGGAGTTCCAGAGTGCACAGGGGACAGCTGGGTGTGGGATCTGGAAAGTGAGGGTCTGGGGCCAGGGCAGGACAGGCATGGAGAGGGCAGGGCACAGGGATTGCCAGGCTGAGGCCGCAGAAGCAGCTCTGAGACCCAGGAGAACCGGCTGGCAGACGCCCAGGTTCCTGCCCTACTGTGGGACTTTTTCAGACAAATTACAAGGGACTAGCAAGTCAGCCAGCCCCCTATACTACCCACCCAAGCCAATCCACACAGGAGTAGGCACAGGTCACCTAGGAGACCCTTGAGAGCTGTGCAGCCAGCCCTGCTCCTTGTCCAAAGCTGGGAGCCCACCCTGTCCAGCCCCCTCCCCTTTAGCATGGAGAGAGAGGCCGGGGTGACACATAAGGGGACCAGGATTCCAGGGTAGCTTAGTCTGGTTCCTGTCCCCTTTCCTCCCCTCATCTCCCTCACTGCTTAGCGGCCCACGCACCCGTGGAGCTACTTGCGGCTGCCCCCTTTTACACGTGGCTCTCTGGTCCCCAAGTTTCTGTCTTCCTAACTCCCACCTGTCCTTGAGGCTTCACCGAGGCTCTGGTGGGGGGGCGTCCTCTGCCCTAGGTTACGCAGTCCCCATGAAGATTGCCCTCTTTCTGTTCGCTGTTGTCTTGTCGGCCTCCCACCAGGCTGTGAGTGCCACAGTGGCCCAGACTGAATCTTCAAGGCTGTGTTCCCCATCCATAGCAGAGTCTGGCACATACCATGTGCCCGATACATATTTATGGAATAAGCAGGTGATGGCCACATCACAGAGCCAGTCCATGGCAGAGCCAGCTACAATCTGAGTCTCCTGATCTCTAGGTTCCAGCTCATTCCAGCAGTCCTGCCACCTCCTTGTGGCTCAGGGGTGTCTCCCTTGGGATGAGGGGCTAAATTCTCTTGGGATAGGTCACTTGGGCACCATCTCCCTCCCTGAAGGACTCTGTTCAGCACTCATCCTTACGCTGGTCTAATTTTGGGTCTGATGTCTGGACAGGCTCTTAGTGCAGGTAATGAGAAGTGTGCATGGGGAGGAGAGGTCACAAAAGGGTGAAAGGACCTGCCTAGGCGGTAGGCATTTAACTTGGTGAGGCTCTCTCCCCTCAGCTGGTGCAGGCAGCTCGCTGTACAGATGGGCCACGGATGGCTGGAAAGGGCAGGAGTATCAGAGCATTGGAGCATGGTGGGGCTGCTGCTCCTTCCAGGCCCCTAGTGCTGGGGGCTGGATGATACTCCCCACTGAGCTCTTAAATGTGTAAAAGAATGTGTGTGTGGTGACCCTAGGTCCTTTTTTCTCTCTCTTCTTTTTACTTTTTACTGTGGAAATTTCACACCCAAGATAATATACCAAAAAAAAAAAAGTAATATTGGGAGTCTCCCGTATACTCCCTACCCAGCTTCCACTCACAGTCAGTTTCATTTATTCTGTATACCCCTCCCCCACCAACACACACACTCTTCTAATCCCTCGTGATTATTTTGAAGTAAATCCCAGACATCGTATCATTTCATTTGAAAATATCTCAGGATTGCCAGGAGAGGTGGCTCACACCTGTAATCCCAGCACTTTGGGAGGCTGAGGCGGGCAGATCACCTGATGTCAGGAGTTCGAGACCAGCCTGGGCAACATGGTGAAACCCCAACTCTACTAAAAATACAAAATTAGCTGGGTGTGGGGGTGCATGCCTGTGATCCCAGCTACTCGGGAGGCTGAGGCAGGAGAATCGCTTGAACCCGGGAGATGGAGGGTGCAGTGAGCCAAGATTACACCATTGCACTCCAGTCTGGGCAGCAAGAGCGAAACTCCGCCTCAAAAAAAAAGAAAATATTTTAGGATTTTACTCTAAAAGACAGGGACTCTTTGTCTTTCTTTCTTTTTTTCCCCCACCCTGTCTTACAGTGCGGAGACCCTGCCTTTTAATCTAGGTATAACATATAAAGCAATGAAGCCCATAAAGCACACTGATCTTACAGATACGGCTCAGAGAATTTTCACTTTTGGGTACTCTTGCATATCCCCCAACTGTTCCAGAATGTTTCTTGTACTACAAAAGGTCGCTGCGTGCCCTTCCCAGTCAAAGCTTCCAGCTTCACGGGTAACCACTATGTCAGACCCCTTTTAACCCCAGCTGGCTGGACTATATCCTTCTTTCTGCTGCCAGCCCCAAACTGGCACTTCAGCCCTCAGGGACTCTCTACCCCCTAAGGAAAGAGCCCTGAGATCTGGGTTTTGATGTTGGCCACATCGTTTTATCTCTGTGCACCTCTTTATTTGCTTGCAGACCTGTGAGATGGAGGTGGGTGGGAGGAGAGAGGCAGCCAGGCTATTCCTCCTCTCTCTGCTTTCTGGCTTCACCTGTGGTTGGTTGCCTTCCTCCCTTCCCTCCTACCATAATCCCATCTCCCACCAGTTCCACACTATTTAGATCCTGCCACATGGCTCCAAAGGCTTCCTGGTCTTTGATCGGTCCATCACCTTGCCATCTTTCCAGGCCTAGAGATGGTAGCTGCTTCCTGCTTTGCTGTTTTCTGAGCTGCCTCCCATAGCGCTTCCATCACCTATGTACCAGTTAGTTTCCTGTGTTAAATTCCTGTTTGTTTGTTTGTTTTTTGGTTGGGAGAAACAGGGTTTCACTCGTTACCCAGGCTGGAGTGCAATGGTATAATCTCGGCCTATCGAAACCTCCACCTCCCACGTTCAAGCGAGTCTCCTGCCTCAGCCTCCTGAGTAGCTGGGATTACAGGCATGTGCCAACACGCCCAGCTAATTTTCTATTTTTAGTAGAGACAGGGTTTCTCCATGTTGGTCAGGCTGGTCTCGAACTCCCGACCTCAGGTGATCAGCCTGCCTTGGCCTCCTAAAGTGCTGGGACTACAGGCATGAGCCACTGCGCCCGGCCTAAATTCCTGCTGTTTGAAAGACTTGGAGTGTTACTTGTTTCCCAGCTGGATCATAAAAGACAAATCTTAGCAATAAATGGCTACTATAAATCCCAGCCTTCCCCAGGAGAATAAAGGGAGACTCACAGGGGTGAGAAATCCATGAACTCAAGTGGGCAGGGCATTGTCTTTGCTTCTTTCCTTTCGTGTTCTTCACCATTCTCCCTGAGGCTGATTTCCACTGGGCAACCCCAGATCCAGGCCGAGTGCCCCAGGACTCCTGGAAGATGTATGAGGGTGGGGCTCTTCTCCCAGGCCTTCTTTAGAGGGAGCTGCTGAGAGAGCCTTCTTCCCGCAGGCCCGTGAGGCATCCAGAAAGGGGGTTGGTGGAAATGGATTCTTCTTCTTTTATTTTTCAGAGTCTCACAGTCTGTCACCCAGGCTGGAGTGCAATGGTTCAATCTTGGATCACTACAATCCCCACCTCCCAGGTTCAAGCGATTCTCCTGGACTCACCCTCCCCAGTTAAGTAACTAGGGGACTACAGGCATGCACCAACAGGCCCGGCTAATTTTTGTATTTTTAGGAGAGATGGTGTTTTGTCATGTTGGCCAGGCTGTTTTTGAATTCCTGGCCTCAAGTCATTCGCCTACCTCAGCCTCCCAAAGTGCAAAGGGCTTACAGGCGTGAGTCACTGCACCTGGCCAGGAGTGGATTCTTCTAAATACTCTTTCTTTGTCTCTTCTTTCCCACTCTGCTCTTAGCTGACTAGCACTATTGGAAAGGGTCTGGCAAACACCCAGAAGTGCGTAACTGATGAGGGTTGTCCTTCTCCAGAGTGTTTGCATTTTCAGTGGTGACAATGCCTTAACCCAGTGTTTTCAGCTGGGGTGACTTTGCTTCCCAGAAGTCACTTAGCAATATTTGGAGATGGTTTTGGTCGTGATGAACCAGGAGGAAGTGCTGGTGTCTAATAGATGGAAGCCAGGGATGCTGCTAACACGCTGCGATGCACAGAATTGTAGATAGGACAGAATCATCCTGTCCCACCACAGAGAACGATACAGCTGAAAATGTCAACAGTGCCAAGGTTGGTAAACCCTGCCTTTTTTTTTTTTTTTTGAGACAGAGTCTTGCTCTTTCACCAGGTACCAGGCTGGAGTGCAGTGGCGTCATCTCGGCTCACTGCAACCTCTGCCTCCTGGGTTCAAGCAATTCTTCTGCCTCAGCCTTCCGAGTAGCTGGGACTACAGGCAAGCACCACCAAGCCTGGCTAATTTTTGTATTTTAGTAGAGATGGGGTTTCACCATGTTAGCCAGGATGGTCTTGATATCTTGACCTCGTGATCCACCTGCCTCGGCCTCCTAAAGTGCTGGATTACAGGCGTGAGCCACCTCACCTGGCCAACGCTGTCTTAACTCAAAGTGATAAACACTTAATAGTGAGCTTCTAAGTAACCTGCCAGGGCACTAGACGAAGAGCGGCATTTTTCTGGTCCATCATTTTAGATGAAAGAGAAATCTGAGGCCGGGTGTGGTGGCTCACACCTGTAATCCCAGCACTTTGGGAGGCAGAGGTGGGCGGATCATGAAGTCAAGAAATTGAGACCATCCTGGCCAACATGGTGAAACCCCATCTCTACTAAAACTACAAAAATTAGCCGGGCATGGTGGCATGTGCCTGTAGTCCCAGCTACCCAGGAGGCTGAGGCAGGAGAATTGCTTGAACCCAGGAGGTGGAGGTTGCAGTGAGCCGAGATCACACCACTAAACTCCAGCCTGGCAATAGATCGAGACTCCGTCTCAAAAAAAAAAAGAAAGAAAGAGAAATCTGTATTACATAAAGGCAGCTAAAAGGACTGGGGCCTTCCACAGTGAGCAGCCCAGTGTGGAGCGGCTAATGGCTCCAAGTGGTAAGAATAAAGAGTTGCATTTAACTAAGTAACTGATTCTCATCCTGGAAAGGATAGAATTGAAAAGGGAAAAGTGAAGAAAATTTAGGTAAATTAATAGACCACAAATAAATGGGTTCTCAGAGGAAGTTAGGATGGTTGAAGTTTTGCAGATGCTTTCTCATAGCATGTCCCGCTCTGTCAAAGATAAACCTCGAGTCTTACCCAAGGAGGTCGCTCTGCTGTCTTCTGCAGAGTGGGTCAGCAAGCAGTGACCACTAGGCACTGAGGTCACCAAGATCAATACGCCTGGTCTCTCTCCTGGCAAACACACATACATCAGGGTAGTAGTAAATAATAATAACAAATAATAGTAAACAGTGGTAAATGCAGAGATAGGCTCTCCCCAGGCGGGTGGAGGGAAGGGTGATGACTTCTGTCATCTCCTGTCCGCAGAGAACAAGAGTCAGGAAGACCCTTCGCACTCATAACCCTCATCCCACGGCAGCCCTCTGGTTTCACTTCTCTCTCTGCAGCCATGCACATTTTTTGGCCACGCCACAGGGTTAGACGATGGCTAGTGTTGGGAGGGGAAGGCAGCCCTAGGTTGCCAGGAAGGGCTGGGGCTCTGGGGGAATCTGGGGTGGTCCTCGGAAGGCAGGGGGTCCTTCCAAGACAGATCTACAAAGCTCTTGACTTTTTTTACTTTTTAGAAGGAGTCTTGCTCTGTCACCCAGGCTGGAGTGCAATCACGCTATTTCAGCTCACTGCAACTTCTACCTCCTGGGTTCAAGCAATTCGCCTGCCTCAGCCTCCCTGCCTAATTTTTGCATTTTTAGTAGAGACAGGGTTTCACCATGCTGGCCAAGCTAGTCTTGGACTCCTAACCTCAGGTGATCCACCCGCCTCAGCCTCCCAAAGTGTTGGGATTATAGGCGTGAGCCACTGTGCCCAGCCTTGACTTCTTATAGAACAAAACCACACTTCCCTCAAAGTCAGAGAAAGAGAACTGAGCTTCAAAAGGAGTCGCCTAGTTTTCAATCTGGTCCCACCCCTAACTCCTGGATGACTGTGGCCAAGTCACTTTGCTTCTGTGGGCCTCAGTCCCCTCATGAGTGAAGCAGGGGGCTAGATGCAGGGTCATCTGGAAAAAGTCTTTGTGCCCATCTGGGCTGCCTTACCCACTCCTTCTTGCCCTTTTGTTTTCTCAGGTAAGACCACTGAGGCTCAGAGAGGTCACGTGCCTTTCTCAAAGTCACATAGTTTAAAAGCAAAAATAAGGGCTGAATATGGTGGCTTACACTTGTAATCACAGCACTTTGGGAGGCTGAGGCAGGAGGACCACTTGAGCCCAGGAGCTGGAGGCTGCAGTGAGCCATGATCCTCCAGCCTAGAGGACAGCAGCATGATACTGTCTTTAGTTAACCATTTTTTTTTTTTCCCAATAGAGACAGGGTTTCTCCATGTTGGCCAGGCTGGTCTCGAACTCCTGACCTCAGGTAATCCACCTGCCTTGGCCTCCCAAAGTGCTGGGATTATAGGCGTGAGCCACCGTGCCTGGCTTGATACTGTCTTTAAAATAAATAAGTAAATAAAAGCAAAAATGAAAGTTGTAGAAAAATAGTGATTTTCTTCTGGAGGTTCTGAAAAGCACCTCCCTGGCTTTTCTATTTGCCTCTTATAAAAAAAGAACTATATATATATATTTTTTTAAAAAAATAAATGTAAGTTGACCAGGCGTGGTGGCTCATGCCTGTAATCCCAACACTTTGGGAGGCCAAGGCAGGTGTGGATCATGAGGTCAGGAGTTCAAGACCAGACTGGCCAACATGGTGAAACCCTGTCTCTATTAAAAAATACAAAAATTAGCTGGGCATGGTGGCTTGTGCCTGTAATCCCAGCTACCTGGGAGGCTGAGGCAGGAGAATTGCTTGCACCGGGACCCAAGAAGCAGAGGTTGCAGTGAGCTGAGATCACGCCACTGCACTCCAGCCTGGACTACAGAGTGAGACTCCATCTCAAAGAAAAAAAACACATGTAAGTTTATAAAGGCACACAAAAAGATATAGACAAATATACAAATCACAGTGGCTCCCCTCGGGGGTGGGGGAAGGAAGGGGACAAAGGGAAGCTTTTATTGTTCTATATACTTCTATATTGCTGGAAAATTGTATTGCGACAAAACATATTTGTGGATTATTTGCACACTTTAAAAGAGTGTTGTTAAAATGGACTTCTGACCAAAGTGCAGGTCTCAGATGTCTATTTTCCTCACAACACCAAGTTGCTCTAGCCCGTTCCGGGTCTAGAATACTACAGTGCTAGGCCATTGCCGTTCCCATACCTGGCAGGACATGGCAGGGTCACCGCCCTCTGGCTCAGCCCAGACCAGGCATTGCAGTTCTTCTCACAGAGCCCTTGATACGAAAACTGTTTGCCATGTTGCCTTAAGCCAGTGGTTGGATTTCAGCCTCGAGCTAGCAAATAGAAAAGGCAGGGAGGTGCTTTTCAGAACCTTTGAGGTCAAACAGTCAGGGAGCACTGTGTTTGCAAGGAGGACCATGGCCAATGTAAGGGCGTGGCTCAAGGGACACTGGAGTTTCTGGGGGTATCTGGGATCTTTGGGGCAGTGGGGACAGTGCAGAGAACTTTTCACAGAGCCAAGGAGATAACCCAGCACCCAGAGAGCGGATGAATCCATGGGCTCTGTGTGGGAGTGATGGGGACCTTCCCGGCTTTCACATCCGGGTGCACGGGAGCCCCGATCCCCCATGAGTCTGTCTCAGAAGTAAATGGCAAAAGCGCTAAGGAGACAACCCCAGAGGAGGAGGAGAATTCTGAATTGTTTATAGCTCTGTTGTTATTTTGTTTTGTAACCTCAGAAAACTGGTTTATCCTTGGGAAGAGTTAGTTTCTTCATCAGGACAATGAAGAAAAATCCAGCCATCCCTTCCTAGGGGAGGTATCATGAGCGGTACCAAGGTAAGCAAGGGGACCTGGTTTGGAATTCTGGCTGACACCGGCTCTCACTTTAAGAAGTCGCAAGGGTTGGCTACAAGAGAGGAAGCCACAGACTGGACCCTGAGCCTGGTATACCGCCTTTTCTCTCCTTTGCCTGGCAAACTCCATGCTCTTCAAGATTCATGGCCAGGCACGGTGGCTCAGGCCTGTAATCCCAGCACTTTGGGAGGCCAAGACGAGCAGATCACAAGGTTGAGAGATCAAGACCATCCAGGCCAACATGGTGAAACCCCGTTTCTACTAAAAAATACAAAAAGTAGCTGGGCGTGGTGGCACCCAACTGTAGTCCCAGCTACTTGGGAAGCTGAGGCAGGAGAATCTCTTGAACCCGGGAGGAGGAGATTGCAGTGAGCCGGGATTGTGCCACTGCACTCTAGCCTGGCGACAGAGCAAGACTCTGTCTCAAAAAGAAAAAAAAAACAGATTCAGCAGAGATGACACCTTCTCTGGGAAGATTTCCTGAGTCTCCTGCAGTGAGCTCCCCTGCCTCCCTCCCTAGGCTACCCAGCCCTTGGCTCTTATCTCTTATCGCTGAGAAATCTCAGACCCTCACTTTGGTTAGAAGTCTATTTTTAAAACGATCTTTTAAAATGTGTACATAGGAACCTTATCTTATGATACTGCAGCTACCTATTTGCAGGCCTAAGTCCCCCCCACATCTGTATCAGTGCTCAGGCTGGGCCTTTGTCTGCAGGCTTGGGGAGGGAGGCAGGACAGGCCAGTGACCACACTCCTGCACTCTGGGCTGCCTCCGGTGGGGCCCTCGAGGGAGCCGCAGCCCTCCCCATTGCGTGCAGGGCCTGGGCTGTGTGGGTGACTCTCCCGAGTCTCCTCCAGCCCTCTTTTTGGGCCTGATTCTCTGACCCTTCCCCCTCTCCTTGCTCACCACTTGGCACTTCACTCCTTATCCTTTTTTTGCATTAGGTTTAGAAACAGATTTTGGAGAAAAATATAGTCCCTACTGATGAGTTTTTCCTCCTTTCAGGGCCTGTGCAGGCTTGTGCCATGCCCACCCTCTTCCTCCCCGAGAGCTGGCGCTGGCCACATCCTCCCTGCACCTTGTCTGCTTTCCCTGACTCTCCCTGGGCTCCGGGTCTGTGCCCACAGCGTCCTGCCTGGCCCTCGTGCTGCCTCTGGGTGCCCACATTCCTGCAACCCCGTGACCACAACAGGGGCCATTACACATTCCTGGCCTGGCAGCCAATGGTGTAAAAAAGAACAGAATGTCCTAGGGCCCTGCCCAGCCCCCAGCCTTACCTGGGCCCCTCCCTGGATCTGGACAAGGTTGGAGGGGGTCGTGAGGAATGAGCAGGAAAGAGGATGGACCAGGTGGAGGCAAATGCACTCCACCTGAGTGCGCTGCTCCCCCACCTGAGTGAGCGGGGAGGAGACTTACAGAGACCTCTTCTCTGTTCTTTCCAGGGCCTATGGGTGAGGCTGACCTGTGGGTGCCCTTGGAGCGCTTCCCACTTGCAGAGACTCTAGCTCCTGGAAGCACACTTAGGACTCCCGCTTGCTCTCCTGCTGGAGAGAGGCTCCCTTTGGGGCCGGTTCCTTCTCTTTGCGGCCCCCTCTCCACCTCTACTCACTCAGTGCCCCTCCTCCATCCCTGTCTCTCCATCCCTCGCTGTCCGCTGTCCCTCTCTATTATCTCCCTTTTTTCTGTCCTCCCGTCCTCCGGGTTCCCCATCCAGGCCCTCTCAACCTGGCTGGCTCCTTCTCTTTGTGTTGCCCTCCAGGCTGTGGGCTCAGGATCCTTCTACTTATTCAGATCTTTGCCCTTCACCCTCCCTCCTGTCCCCCAGCCTCCTTGCCTATCAGCTCCGGATCAAAGCCCCTGCCCAGAGTCCACCTTCTCAGGTCCAGTACTCTGGGTTCACCTGTGCTCTGGACCCCTCCTCCCTTCGGAAAACTCCCGGCTCTGACTCCTACTCGGCCCCTCCCCACGCCCTGCTCACCTTTAATTGAGATGCTAATGAGGCTCCTGTCGCTTCCATCCCTGGCCAGCCGGCGGGCGGGCTCCCCAGTCAGGCCGTTGCACCTGTCAGGTGAGGGGGAGGAGAGGCTTGGCTGCCAGATTCAACTGGAAAGGAACCAGTCCCAGTCCAGCCGCAACCTGGGAGTGGGAAGCTGGAAGCAGCCCAGACCTCCCGGAGCCCTGCAGTTCTGGGGCGGAGACGGAATCAGGACACAGCTCGAGGTCAGGGCCAGAGGCTGGAGGTGAGGGTCTAGAGTGAGAGGGGGCAAGGCAAGGGGGAAGAGGAAGAGAGGCAGGATCAGAGAAAGGAGCCAGGCCAGGAAGAGGAGACACCCAAAGAGAAACAGAAGGCAGACAGAGAGGGAGTAAGAGGCAGGAGCGAGACACAGATCCTGGAGGAAGAAGACCAAAGGAGGAGGGCAGAGACTGCTTCGGAGACAGAAAGGGAGGTGCTAGGACAGAAACCAAAAGGTGGCCCTATCAGGGAAGTAGAGGAGAGGCTGTTCCTGGGAAGCCCAGCTGCGGCACTTCTGGTCCCAACTCCCGAAAGTCTGCTGGCTCCAGGAAAGGTGGAAGAGGGAGGGAGGAGTGGGAGAATGTGGGCACCGGGTGGGACGTGGGCCTGGCCAGGGGCAGCCTCACTCAGGTTCCAGAGGTGATGGGAGAGGGCACTCAGCGCCCAGAGCTCAGCCTTGACCCTGACCCTTGCTCTCCCTAGCCCACCCCGGGGCTCATGAAGGGGGACAAGCTGGAGGAACAGGACCCTAAAGCTCTGCAGCCCATGCCAGGGCTCAGGAAGGGGGACAAGCTGAAGGAGCAGGACTCTAGCCCTCCACAGCCCACCCCAAGGCCCAGGAAGGGGGACAAGCATGAGGAGCAGGGGCTGGGCCCCGAACCGGCGGCGCCCCAGCAGCCCATGGCAGAGGAGGAGGCCCTGATCGAGTTCCACCGCTCCTACCGAGAGCTCTTCGAGTTCTTCTGCAACAACACCACCATCCACGGCGCCATCCGCCTGGTGTGCTCGCGGCACAACCGCATGAAGACGGCCTTCTGGGCAGTGCTGTGGCTCTGCACCTTTGGTGTGATGTACTGGCAATTCGGCCTGCTGTTCGGAGAGTACTTCAGCTATCCCGTGAGCCTCAACATCAACCTCAACTCCGACAAGCTCGTCTTCCCCGCGGTCACCATCTGCACCCTCAATCCCTACAGGTCGGTCAGTCCCGCTGCCTCTTCCTGGCGCCTGTGCCTGGAAGGGTGGTCCAGGGTGCTGAGGTGCTCACTGGGCAGGCAGAGCCTCAGACCTGAGGGTGAGGAGCCTCCAGCTTGCTGGACTGATGTCCCTGCCTGGTGGAGCCATCCTAGCACCACAGGCTCACCCAGAGTGTGGTTGTCAGAGCGGCCTTGCCCTTCCCTGCCCTCTCTTCTCCTTCCCTCCGGTTCTCTTCTCCCTCCTGCAAATGGGAGGGAGTGCTTGCAAAAGGGCAGGGGTGTGCGCAGCTCCATCCCTCTTTGGGAGCAAGATGCCAGCCAAGTATAAGACCTCGTCCACCTCAGCAGGAGAGTCTGATAGAGAGGTGAGGCTAGGGGAGGCGAGGCCACGCAGGTGCTGTGGAGGTGGAGAAGGGGATGAAACAAATTTCTGTTATGGAGAAAGCAAAGTGGGGGGTCGTAGAGGTTAGGGCTGCAAGTGAGCCCAAAGGCTGGGGACAGGGACCTTACAGAACAAGGAGAATGGGTCCAGCTAGAGAGCAGCGCCTTGTGAAGCTGTTCCCGCAAAATCCCCAGGCTGAAACGTGGAGGCGATCGCTCCCGCCGCACTGTTCACCTGTGCAGGTGCCTGACCTTTCCGTGCTTGGGTGTGTCCTGGAGCTTTGGGTTTCATCAGCGCTCTTTGCCAGTGTTGGGTCTGGAAACCGGGGGTGGGGGGCTGGGGGGGGTGGTAAGCATGGAGAAGAGAGAAGGGCAGGGCTGAGTGTTTTTATGTACCTCTATTTGTATTCACTCAGCCACGCCACCCCTTGGGGACACCTACGTCAAGCCAGACACCGGGCTAGACACCTGGCAAATGGATTCATGAATAATTCATACACCCTTATTGAAGGCCTGGTAGTTTGCTGAGTTCTGGGGCAGAAAGCTAAAATAAGATGACAGAGACAGGCCAGTAGCTGTGGCACACTGGGATATGTATGATAAAAATGGTGAGTTAGTGTCTTCAGGGAGTGTAAAACCTTATGAGTGTGTGTGTGTACATATCAGTATATGTGTGATTATGGATGCTTGGGACTGGTCACGCCGTGGGTGGAGGCCCCTTCTTATATTCCATCATGTCCAAAGGCGTGATATGGACTAAGAAAGGTTGGGACGTCCTGTCCTGGAGAGAAAAAAAAGCCAGGCCCTTTTGTTGATTAACCTCTGTATGACGTCCGGGTAGAACCATTTCCTTAGGAAGCTGCCGTGTGCACAGACAGCGCCAAGGTGTCTACAGGCATCTCATTTCATTCTCACATCTTACTAGGCAGGTGCTATTGTTATCCCTATTTTACATTTGAGGAAACTAAGGCAAAGAGAGGCAAGCCACAAGATCACCGAGCAAGCGAGTCACTGAACTGTGACTCATCCTGTTTATACCTCATCCCAAAACTCTGCCTCTTTTTAATAGCCAAGATGTGGGGTGTTGAGTGAATGAGATTTCCAGTCAGATGTGGTTTCCATCTCATTTCAGAGCTCTCGTGGGTCCTTTCTCTCGGCCTCATTTTTCTCCCCCTGGTTCCTGCAGGCATCTTCATCCCTTTAGGCCTTGGTGGAGGGGAGGGACGAAGCAGGAAGGGGAGGGATGGCAGGCCAGGCAAGGCAGTGGGCACTCAATAACTATTTGTGGTTGAAAAGATGTCAGTGCGAGATGGAGAGGGAGGGCAGGGGTGAATGGGGTGAGGCCTGCACAGTTCTCAAGTTCTGCTGGTTGCGGGACCCTAGACAGTCCAGGAAAAAGCCAGGGAGAGGAAGCCATGAGCCCTGCCTCTGGGGCCTGCAGGCTGGGAGGCAGGCATCTGCCCAGAAAGACTCCCTCCTGCTGGAAGGGCTGCTGCGGAGTTAGGAGGGAGAGAACACCTAGGATGGGAGGGGAGTCGGGGAAGACTCCCCAGCACGAGGAAAGGAGATTCAACACCCACCCAGCATTACGCACTTGACCTTGTAGTCACATTATGTGCTATAAAACCGGGTGCTTATAGACACTCACTCATTTAATACTGACAAGTCCAGGGAGGCGGCCATTATTATTTCCATTTTTCAGATGAGGAAATTAAGGCTTGGCAAGGGGAAATAATTTGAACAAGGGAACATACATTATTTATTTATTTATTAAATTAAAAAATACCGGCTGGGCATGGTGGCTCATGCCTATAATCCCAGCATTTTGGGAGGCCAAGGCAGGTGTTGAGGGGTCTGGGATGGAGCCCAAACAAGGCTGTTTAAAAGAGCCCCTCACTTGAGGCCAAGAGTTCGAGACCAGCATGGCCAACATGGTGAAACTCTCATCTCTACTAAAAATACAAAAATCAGCTGGGCATGGTGGTGCTTACCTGTAGTCCCAGCTACTCAGGAGGCTGAGGCAGGAGAATCACCTCAGGAGGCCAAGGTTGCAGTGAGCCGAGATCCACCACTGCATTCCAGCCTGGGCCACAGAGCAAGACCCTGCTCAAAGAAAAAAAAAAAACCAGTAATAACACTTGTATATATTTATGTGCCAGACATTTTTATAAATGAATCTACATCTAAATTAAATGATTCTGCTTTAAATTATTTAATCCTCACAACACAACTGGGAAGTAGGTATCATGATTGCTCTTTTTTTAAAAAATATAAAGACGGGTTTCACTATGTTGGTCAGGCTGGTCGTGAACTTCCGACCTCATGTGATTCACCCGCCTTGGCCTCCAAAGTGCTTGGATTACAGGTGTGAGCCACCATGCCCGGTCGATATCATGATTACTCTCATTTTATGGATGAGGAAACTGAGGCCCAGAGAGTTAAGTAACTGGCTCAACTTCAGACAGGCAGCAAGTAGTGAAACTGGGACTCAAAAATCATCCCCCTACCCGCGACGGGAAGCCAGGGCATCTCAGGTTAGCAGCTGAGTCCCAAATCAAGTGTGTTTGATTCAAGGCTCTTTTTCCCATTACACTTTTAAGTAGGGATCAGGCAAAGCCCTCCCAGGGCTGTGGCAGCTGGTGGGAGCCCAGTGTGTGGAGCAGCAGTCATAGGAGGACAATTTGTCAGGCATGCAGGAGGGAGGGATCCAGGGCCACTCCTGCTCAGGAGGGAGGCAGGGCGGGTGGACAGGTTCACGCAGCCTGCTGCTGGCTGCCAGTGAGTGAATCATGTGGAGCGTGGTGAGTGACTCCTACAGAGGAAATCGGTTGATGAGCTAGAGGGACTGAAGTGAGGCAGAGTCCTCCAGGGCTGCCCACCTGCTGGAGGTCACCACCAGCAGAGGGAGAAGAGGAAGAGGGCATGTGGGACTCTGTGCTGCTGTCCAGCTTCAAGGAAAGGGGACAAAGCGCTGAAGACCTTTCCGACTAAGCAAAGGAGTGCTGAGTCCAAAGGGAGGGGTTGGCCACTGCAGCCCCTTTCTCTCTGGTCAACAAAGGGGTTCTCCACTCAAAGGAGAGCGCCAGTCATACCTACCATCATGGGAAACAGAGCCCACAGACATATTTTTCATCCAGTCCCAGGAACGGTTTAGGCTGGACCTAAGAACCTGGAGTTCTTGAACAATGAAGGAGGTCATGGTAGCGTCTTTCCTGGAAATGGCACAGCAGGAGGCCTGGCAGCAGGCGTGGGTGAGGCAAGGGGCAATTTCCCAGACAGAGTCCCTTGGGGAGGGTGGGAAAACCCTGAGCTAGGGAGTCTCTCCCTGCCCGTGGTTCCCTGATGTGGCAGTGTGACCCTGCACTCCCTGGGCAGTCTGGACACCAGGCTTTGCTCAGCAGGCCTGGCAGGAGAAAAGCCTGGACTCTGAAGAGTTGACTCCCCTCTAGCCCTGCCACAGTGGTTGAATCCGTCTCATCTCAGGAACCTTGCTACCTCTATGGCAGATGCTATTAAAAAGTTCTTCCTGGCCAGGCGCAGTGGCTCATGCCTGTAATCCCAGCACTTTGGGAGGCGGAGGCGGGCAGATCCCTTGAGGTCAGGAGTTTGAGACCAGCCTGAGCAACATAGTGAAACCCTGTCTGTACAAAAAGAAAAAAAAGTTAGCCAGGCATGGTGGCATGCACCTGTGGTCCCAGCTACTCAGGAGGCTGAAGCATGAAAATCACTTGAGCCTCTCACTGCCCTGGCTATTCATCCTCTGGGCAATCGTTGGTTTGTGAGCACCTACTGATCTTAAAATGTCCTAGGGTTGGGCGTGGTGGCTCACGACTATAATCGCAGCACTTTGGGAGGCTGGGGCGGGTGGATCACCTGAGGTCAGGAGTTCGAGACCAGCCTGGCTAACATGGAGAAACCCTGTCTCTACTAAAAAATACAAACACTAGCCAGGCATGGTGTTGTGCACCTGCTACTCAGAAGGCTGAGGTGAGGCAGAGAATTGCTTGAACCTGGGAGGCAGAGGTTGCAGTGAGCTGAGATCATGCTGCGGCACTCCAGCCTGAGCAACCGGGTGAGACTCTGTCTCAGAAAAAAAAAATGTTGTAGCCAGAACTGAACTCCACATGTGATCTGAGAGCTCAGAACAGGCTCTAGTGGGGCCATCTCTGTTACCTGGCCTCTGTCCTCAGGGGGCCTCACAGGTGAGGGGCACCTGTCTGTGAACACACTGTGGTGCAGGCTGAGCTCAGAGGGACTGCGTGTGGGGAGGACTCCACTGGGGTGAGTGTTCACAGCCCCCCGGGAGAAAAGGCTGGAGATGCTGAGAGGTGGAGAATGGTCTGTGGCAGGGCTAAAAGGGGCCAAAGAAGGAGAAGTTAAGGCTTCTAGGTGGTCCCTGGAGGTGGGAGAGAGCACTTGCTGGGAGGAAGTTAGTGCGTTTCTTGTGCCCAGCTCTGCCTGGTAATCTGGGAATGCTGGCTGAGTGCTCTGGTGGGGCCTCTGGGTGGGATGGGCCTAGGCAAGTCCCAAGGCTGTCAGGGTGAGCATGGGCTCTTCTGTGAGAGGAGGCCACCAGGGCTAAGAGGGAGGGAAGAAGAGGAGACCAGATGACGAGAGAG